CCCCCCCCCCACAGGTGTCCCTGAGGGACACGGTTTAACGTCTTCTCCAAGTCCACAAAACACAGGTAGACTGGTTGAGCGAACTCCCATCTGTACTAATTATTGATAAATTATTAAAGTATTAATGATAAATTTTCTTGTTTGAGACTTTGTGCCAGTTTGCACATTTTGTAAAAGACTGTTTTAGTATTTTATGTAGGTTTTGACAAAGGACAGTTCCCTCTGCAGACTTGAAAATTTGCCCCCAACAGAAAATTCAAGAGTATCTACAGTATCTATGGCTCGGTCCTCAACATCCGGGTGGACGTGTCACTGTTATCTCCTTTTGTGGTGCATTTATCAACAAATGTTTGTGCAAAAGGAGTGTGATTTAAAGTTGCTAAAAGCATGGCATTTGTTGAATTCCACTGAGTCACGATGGTCAAACCAACGTGAACTCCTCATCATGTGGTGACATGTTGTGCTGACCAAAGCAGTGACCGAACCCAGAGGACACCCCATAGTCCGTAGGGAGTCCAACATCACATCAGTCTAGTAGTAATAAGATGCAGCTCACACTGAGAGACTGCAGCGAGCATCTGTGGCTCAACGAGAGGTCAGAAAAATGAACACATGTTAACATGAGACCCAAATCTGTTTGTCTCGTAAGAGAGGTATAGTTGTCTCTACTTCCACTTCCTGCATCCATATGTAGGTGTGTCAGAGTGAAGTAGCTGCTGTGTCAGCAGCACAGCAATCTGAAAATTGCCCATCCATATGTATGAGTCTGAGTGCATTTCCGCCCCTCTTTGTCCAGCCAATTCAGTACTGCGGAACCGGAGACCGCACATGATGAGACCTACTGGAAGCAACAGCACGTACCACGCCCTCCGGGACCAGACCATAGAGCTTGAGTGCATCGTCCAGGGCCAGTGAGTGTCTGTCTGTGCATACGTGTGCACCTCTGTCGTCACTAATCAGATAAATAAAGCTGCTCCTTCAAAACCAATCTGTACTGCCTCAYATCGTCTCAATTTTCTCTCCTGCCACCTCTTTTCTTTCTTCCTTCTCTAACTCATCCATCTTCTTTCCCTCCTCTCTGTTGCATGTCTGTCTTTTTCCATCCATACCAATCTTCACTCTTCTCTTCTTCAGCCCAACTCCTGAGATTACGTGGGTAAAGAAGAACGGTGAGCTGTTGGAATCCCGTGCCAAGAAAGAAATGTTTGGCCGCCGCCTGCGCCTCAGTAATATCACAGAAAGTGACAGCGGGGATTACCAGTGCATAGCTCAAAACACCCAGGGGAAAGCCATACACACATACAGTGTGACAGTGGAAGGTGCTCTTTCCTTTATTTGTAAACTCAAATACACAGAAACAGAAATTTAAAACACTTTAATGTGTAAAACGATGTCAAAAGGCCAMACAGCTTTGTAGTTTCTGCTGCATATTTTAATTTGCTTTACGGATGTAAACAGTAAGTAAATTATGAATGAAGATGTCTTGTAGTCCTGAAGCAATAACCAGATAAATCTTGGATTGGATTATTAATAGAAGATTTATGCAGAACAGTAAAACTAATGAAGTATCTTTTTATTTGCTAGAGATTACAAAKCCAATTAACGTCTTATAAAACTTGATAGATTTTATTTGCTTATCTCTTTGAGCCTTCCTTTGTGCAGTAGGCCTTATCAGGAACATTTAAAACCTGGCCTTACTTCTTGTTCATTTTATTTATTCASTTTTGGCTTTTCTGGTTTACTTTAGTGCCATATTTTGTTCTTTGCAGCTGCTCCTTATTGGAAAAAGGTACCAGAGAGTCAGATTTATGCCCCAGGTGAGACAGTCAAACTRGACTGTGAAGCGAAGGGTACCCCCTCTCCCACGATGACCTGGACCATTAATGGAACCCCCCTGTCAGGTTAGAGCACAAACCCAGCTGAATTATTTTTTTTACACACATCCTTGGACACTTTAGATGTACTAAGAGAGTGAAAATCTTAAACAGCAACTGATAAGGACCCCAGACGAGTCGTGACAGCAGATTCATCACTGATTCTCAGTGAGGTCATCTTTGGAGACACTGCCATCTACCAGTGCCAAGCCTCCAACAAACATGGAACCATCCTCACCAACACATATGTATACGTCATTGGTGAGCATTTATTTCCCACACACCACTTTAACTGTATTCTCTCTGTGTCTGATTCTCTRTGAATGTAAAAACTTGTATGTTTTGGTTCAGAGCTGCCTCCTCAGATCCTCACTGAAGACAGGAAACTGTATGCGGTTACTGAAGGACAGAAAGTTTTTCTGGACTGTGAGACCTTTGGCTCTCCTAAACCTAAAGTCATATGGTGAGTATTTCTGTGACTTGTTTTTAGTCTTCCAGTGTTAGTTGGCAAATTTTCACATTCTATTTCACAGATCTGATGTTATTGCGTAAGTAGCTCCTCATACGCATAAATTAGCAACTAAATGCTGTTACATCTGGGCTGTGACTGWGAAATCTGTTAGCTAGGCAAGTATCCAAACAGGCTGTTTTTTWAAATGTAAAATAGAAGAGAAGAGGCATTTAAACAGTTGAGTTTAATTTCTGAAAAGCTTAAATTGGAACCATCTTGCTGAATTTTTCAATGTGTTTGTGTGKTKTTKTTTTTTTAGGGACAGTGAGGCATCRTCTCTTCTGGCAGATCCAAGGRTAAACCTACTCACCAACGGGGGGCTTCAGATCTCAAATGTCACCCACGAAGATAAGGGTCTCTACACCTGCTATGTACAAAACACCAACTTGTCAATCAGTGCAGAGCTGGAGGTGTTCAGTGAGTGAGGCACAAACACACACACCAAATCCCTTAGCAGCTTAAAGTTATTGCACATCCTTCAGCTTAYCTCATAACTTTTTTYCCCTAATACCCTTCATTTCCCCTGCAGACAGGACAGTGATTCTGTCACCACCCAAGAATCTGAAGGTGCAGCCTGGACACACAGCAGTCTTCACATGTGTGGCCCATTATGATGCCAGTCTCAAAGTTCCCATCATTCAGTGGAGGAAGAACAATACAAAGCTGTCTGAATCCTCCAGCAGTGAAAAGTGAGACTAAGACTCTTGCACATTTCARCATTGATGAAAGAAWAAAAGAYGTTGGCRAGATGATGAGGTAGAGAGGAGGGAAATTATCGTTAAAATTGCCTTTCTTTTCAGATACACATTTGATGGGTCAGAATTCAGAATATCTAATATGGAACCAGACGATGAGGGACTCTACACCTGTGAGATCATCACATCGCTGGACCAGGCTGTTGCAAGCGCAATGCTTGTTTTATGTGGTAAGAGCACTGAGCCTGGACTGGATACACGCAAACACAAATTTGTCTTTTAATCTAAAACACAGTTAAACTACATAAATGTAGATACATGCAGTGTGCAGGCAGTTGTGATAATATTGATATTGATATTGGTGTTCCCCACAGACCGACCAGACCCTCCGGTCCTTCTGCAGATCTCTGATTCTGGTGATCGGGAAATCACTCTCAGCTGGACTCCTGGTTACGACCACAACAGCCCTGTTCTAGGTTTACTGGAGACAAACACACTTACATTTTATACAAACCTTTCTTCTGTAGCCTCAAGGCTTTAGCATTTCTAATAACTTAGTTTATGAGGGAAATGGAACCAGTATGATTAAACTCTAATCTAACAATCTCTTGAGTGTTATTCTGCAATAAGTTGGCGCATTTTTCTTCCCCATCACTCTTTCGTTCTATTTCCACAGAGTATGTTGTGGAATTTGAGGACCAAGGTTTGAAAGGGAAAGGTTGGGAAGAGCTGAAAAGAGTAGGAGGAAATGAGGAGAGTGCTGTCCTCCGCCTGTGGCCTTATATATCCTACCGTTTTCGGGTCATTGCCATCAATGAAGTGGGCAAAAGCGACCCGAGCAAGCCATCTGAAATCTACAACACACCTGCCGAAGGTAAAAGCCTTTATTTTGCAATGAAAGYTTTTTTTTTCACTGTAAAAGCAAAGCCAAACAACATCAAACCATCTAAAACTGTCCTTTTTCTCCTTCAATCAGCTCCAGATAAAAACCCGGAGGACGTCAGGAGTGAGTCTGTAAACCCAGATACTCTTCTCATCACCTGGGAGGTGTGCCTGAGTGTATTATTTTTAAACAAACATATGGAGAAAGTGCATTTTCTAAAAAAAAAATAAAATAAATAAAAACCATGATGTGAATGGTTGCTGAATGTATTTGATGAAATTTGTTGTGAAATGAATTAAGCATAATGGAAGGTAAATTCAGCTGATATAAAATCAGCAAATTTGTAACTAAAAGCTTAAATTAGCAAAACAGTAACCAAAACATAGCAGATCTGCAGCCAAATGCTAAAATTAGCAAAATTGTAGCTAAAAGCTAAAATTAGCAAAATTGCAGCTCAAAGCTAACAGCTAAAATAAGCATGAGATGACAAAAACAGAAAAAATATGGTATTCCAGAAAACAATGTTTTTGAAGGAACTGAAAAGATCCTAGTGTATTTCTATGGGAAAGAAATTTGTAAATAAAGTTAAATAATAATAGTATGCAAGGCAAATATATAATAACACACTATTCCTGATCAAGTCAAATGATTTGATATAGAAATGATAAAAATATCACAAAGAATGAAGAGATGTTTGATTACAAAGAAACTATAGACAGAAAAACAAGTGTGGGATTAAATCAGCATTCACACTAATATTTGTTTTTAGGAGGATTTGAACTTAACTGCCTGTTATTCCTTTTGCTACAGAAAATGGACTACCATAACTTCAATGGACCTGATTTTAAGTACAAGGTCCAGTGGAGGAGAGCGGTGGGCAGTGGGCCTAAGTGGCATGAGAGCAACACGACAGAATCCTCCTTGGTTGTCAGCGGTGTTGGAAATTTCTCTGCCTTTGAAATTAAAGTTCAGGCTGTTAATGCGTTTGGGGAAGGACCTGAGCCAGACCCGGTCATTGGCTACTCAGGAGAAGATGGTAAAATATTTTAAATAAAACCATCTTCAGCTGTATACTCTTCTTTAAATGTAAATTTTCATACTTTGTTTTGTCTCTCAGTTCCACTTGAAGCGCCGATGGATGTGGGTGTTGAATTGATAAGCAGCACAACAATCGAAGTGAAATGGTTCGCTGTGGACAGAGAGTCGGTCAGAGGACACCTGCTGGGATACAAGGTGCTGCTTCTGCACCATCACTTGTTTATATTCTCACTTTAAACTCTGAAGCTTTAACACGATGTCTTGATTTGATTGTTGTTGTTCTACCAGCTATATGTAACCAGAAAAGGCTCCAGGGGCCACCACCGAGGCAGGAGGTCCAGAGAGTCCGAGAGCACCATGGTGAAAGAGACTGGACCCAATGAAGACAAGACGATCATCAGTAATCTCAGACCGTACTCCCACTACGTCCTGAGTGTCACTGTATTTAACAAAAAAGGAGAGGGACCTCCATCTGAGCCAGTGGCCTTCAAGACTCCAGAGGGAGGTAAGAATAAGTTGGTGGTGGGTTGACAAGGCTGGAAAAGGGAACGTGATAAAGTAATTGGACAGGATTCAATATAGAAAACAAGACATAGAGATGGAGCAAGATAATGACTGGTGTGGGACTGAGGAGGATTGTGAAACAGCTTCTGAGATAGATTTTATTGAACAGACGGGGCTTTGATCAAAACTGAATAAGCCCCTTTTAAGTTGATCGCAGTTTAACCTGGCCTCTTTGTGCTGCTGACAGTACCTGGTCCTCCGACATCCTTGATCTTGGACAGCCCCTCAGAGACAGAAATGACCCTGCGTTGGACACCTCCAGAGCATCCCAACGGCGTCCTTACTGGATATCTACTTCAGTACCAGTGGAGTAAGCATCCTTTATATTTCATCCAGAAAACCTTTTAAAATCCAAGTTTCTCTGGAGTAATGACATTATTTATTTAGAAGATACCAAAGTTAAATTGATGAAACTATAAAAATGTCACAAAATCTTTGTTATGCACATCAGCCAGTCAGGTTTTGAGAATCTGACTGAACGGTTTTGGCCTTTATTGTGGTCAGTTACAGAGAGTGACGACGGGCCCTTGCAGGTAAAGAAGATAGATGACCCCACAGCCACCAACTTCACCGTACAGGGCCTGGACCGTCACAGGCAGTATTCTTTTTACCTGAGGGGGTGCACATCTGCTGGGGAGGGAGAGTTCAGCATGATGACGGGGGCCACCACACTGGAAGGAGGTCTTATTTATCTTTATTACCAACATAGTAATTATTGGAAGTTTGTGCTTGTGTTTGTACACAACATCCCTATGTCATTATTGGGGTTATATTTATATATTTATACTGTATTTTTGCCTATCTCTATACTACAGCCCCCCCTGACAACATCAACGTGTCTGTAGGGGAAAACTTGGTAAATGTCAGCTGGGTGGCCAAGAAAAGACACAGGAATATTGATTTCTACATTCACTATCTGAAGAAGAATGGTACGATATACGCACTAAAAAACTGCATTCATATTCTGAACAGCAGCAGAATTGGAACTGAGGTTTTCTGACTTGCTCGTACAGATGGCAGCAAATCGAAGAAGTCGGAGAAGGTGAACTCCTCTCAGTCCTTCTATCAGCTTCAGGGTTTGAGTCCCGGCTCTCACTATGTCCTAAAACTCATCTATGGCAATATCACATTTTGGGATGGTGAAATCAACACAGCAGGAACAGGTAGCACTCTGTTGTTATTCGCTCTGTTTCCTTTAATTTCCTTTGTTTTCTCCTGTGGGGTTTCTGTGTCTAAAAATATCAAACTGGATCCTAAAGAGAGTACCTTGCAGTTCTTTTGTTTTTATGCTTGTGAAATGCTTTCAAAGACTCTTGCGGGAAGAGCTTGGTTAGCCATATGAAGGGTTAGACTTCAGTTCTTTGGTGAAATGTCACCTTGTCAGGATGCATAACACACTTTTTTGTGTGCTCCCGATTCTTATCTCATTTATCTTGTGCTGTCTACCCTTTCTATGCTTTACTTCCTTCTTGTATTTTCATCCTGATTTCCCTAACAAAAAAAAAAACTTTCTCTGCTTTATAACTATTTCACACCTATTTTTTTCTTTCTTTGAAAGAAGTGACAGAGGTGCAGCAAAGCATCGCAACGCAGGGCTGGTTTATCGGAGTTGTGAGTGCCATCGCACTGCTGTTGTTGATTCTGCTCATCCTCTGTTTCATCAGAAGAGGTAAAGGAGGGAAGTACTCAGGTAAGGACTTACTGAGTGCTACTGATTAAACCATCACACTCCTGTTGATTGCACATTACAGTTACTTACATAAAATTCTGTGAATATTAACAAAGTGCAAATATTGGCAGTAGCAGGTAGCTGTAGCACTCTGGTGTGGTCTCACCTTGCTACTTTTTATGTATTTTTGACTTGAGTTGTTTGAATATGAATTTCCGTTTGGTCTTGAAAATGTACTTTAGGCATTTGGATGTGAAATAGAAACATAAAAGATCAAAGAAAAAATAATTTTGTTTGATATTACCCAGAAAGATTGTCTAATGTTTTGCACTTTAAATCTGACTCTTGCTGTTTGACAGAACAGTTTACTGATGCAAACATAATTGTATAAAGAAATTGAAGTGAAAGTAATGCGTGACTTGTCTCACTGTCAGTGAAAGATAAAGAAGAGGGTCCGATGGACTCAGAAGTTCGACCAATGAAGGATGAAACTTTTGGAGAATACAGGTTTGTTGTCTGAAGTTTTTATGGAACGTTTGAATTCCTAACAGCCCTGAATCCCTTGGCACTGCTTGCTTTTCCTAACCCTTTGTGTTCATTTTGACTTTTTTTTTTCCTCTGATGCGTGCCCCTGATTTGCAGATCTCTAGAAAGGTATGCTGTGATATGTTTTACCCTTATATGTTACCAACTCTAACAGTTTTGTCCTTTCACTTTCTTTTTAAAAGCAGAAAGTTTTATAGAATGCATCAATGCTTCTTTAATATGAAGATTGGTCATCTCAGCAGTCCACAAACCTTAAAAATCAAAAACTTTTTTTACTGCACGTGATCAGCAACCCTTTTTCTAACAAGATGTCATCAGATATTTAAACACATTCTTGTGTGTTTGATGTTGCTGCATTTGCAAACATGTACTCTCACCTGCTCTAGTGATCTTGAGGAGAAGCGGACAGCCAGCCAGCCGTCTTTGTGTGAGGAGAACAAGCTCTGCAGTGAGGACACCCTGAACTTTAATGGCAGCAGTGCCATAACCACGGAGCTCAACATGGATGCATCTCTGGTCAGCCAGATCAGCCGTCCCAGCGAGGGGTTCCATAGCATGCCTGAAAACACCCCGCTAAACCCCAACTCCATCTCCTCAGCCTCCAACGGCATGCCCAACTCAGTTAATATCCTCAATTAAACCCCAAACATCCACCAGGGACCGTCAGACCAAAATCTGTCAACACGTTTGTGCCCATGCTCTCTCGCTCCCCTTGAACCTGCTGTTTATTTTGACATCCAATGCAAAATCAGTTACTGACTACTCGGACGCCCTCAGCAGTCATCCGACTGATTAGACTATTGTGACCAAAGGAGTGTCCAAAGTGGTGGACATGCGACACAAGTCTGATCTTCTGTCATTTATGTAGTTTCCAGCTAGTTCAACCTGTCTTTACTTCATCCCATTTTGTCGTTTTTTTTTGCTCCTTCAGCAAACAAATGAAATATAAACAGAATGTTGTAAGTTTGAAATATCAGGGTGTGTTGTCAGGCAGAGATGCAAAGCAGTGCATTAAATAAAACTGGAGGATGATGGTGGAGCCCAGGAGAGGCAAACAAACTGCATACATCTTATTTATCGTTTGTGTGTAATTTGTATGTCCCATGMCATTTATTGGCTCACATTGTACTCACTATTGACATTTTTAATTTATTTATTATTTTTGTATCTGTGCTTAAAACACACATTTTTATTTACTATCATTTTCATATTTATATCAAGCTTGTGGCTTTTTTATTTAGGATTTTTAATAGATCAAAATGGTTTCTTTGAAATCCAGGCATATAATTAGGTTTGAGGGGGACTTGCTGTGAAGACACGGAGCAGCAACTGGTGTATATAGCTGCATCACTGCATCTACATCTATCWATTCAGCCGTAATACAGTATTATAGATATGGAATTGCTCCTAAGTTCCTGTGCCTGCCGGGTCTGCATAAAGCATCAGACTGATTTCATTACAATCTCGCCTTCATACCATAAGTGTAACGTCATTATTGGAAATGAAAATTGTACTTTTTGTTGTTGAGACCTATGTGTAAGCTCTGTGTGACMGTCTTGTCTCCTTCTTTGGTGTATTAAAACACTGTTGCGTCTAATTAACAATCTTTTTATACCTGTTCATCTCATTCTCCTCAATCTGATTGAACAGCAGTATTTTTTGAAGRTTAGAGTGTGCCGTTTCTTAGACACTCTCTGAAGATTTAAGTTTTCAAACTTTATCAATGCAAGCTAGATTGTGTAGACAAACATAACAACGGCTGGGTGAAGTGGTGGTTCACATTTTAYGAAGCAGAGTTTTGTGGAAGGGTTGTGGTCAATTACAGACAGGTACCTGTTGTAGATACAACCTCAAAACAGAGTTTGATTCTGACCAGACTGATGAGCTAATGGCTAGTCCGAGTGGAGCCAAGACCATAAAAGGGTCACTGCATCTTAAAACAACACTGATCTCAAAAGTTTCATCATGGTTCATTAAAATATTATTTTACAAACTTTTACATCCCTGTCAGTTTCGCATTATTTAGTTATTTATGTATAATTCTATGGTTATTAGTATTGCCCATAGCAGCAGCAGCTAGCTATAGCATTTTCTGTAGAGCCTGAGCRATTAAGGCATTAAGCTGGAATGCTTGTGTAATTGATGGGACTGTAAAGACAAAACAAAACAGTGTTCACTTGAGCTTAGCCCTGGTCAGGTTAGCCGTTAGCTCATCAACTCTCCTAACTGAAGTAAACAGCTACCTTATCTACAACAGGTAAGATATTAAGTGTTCAAAAAATGTTCACAGAACTAACTTTGAACAATTTGAACTATCACTTTAAGTTATGATGGAGGTGAACTGTTGGTATTTAGATGAGCGAATGTATTGTTTTCAGGGTGAGGTAGATGTTGCATTTCTGTGCTTTTAATCTGAGGAAAAACAGGACTCCGCAGAGATGAGAAATGTTTTAAGTAAAGTGGGAAGGGACATTTTTTTCACAGAGTGTAAATAGAACCCTCAAAGAGCCATGTTTGATAGAAAATTTTTAAAATAAGCAGGTTTAAAATCACTGATCATTTTAAAACGTTTCAAGTTGAAGATTTTCCTTCTTCTGTGCTATTGCTATGAATTCAAACATTGTGTTTTTGATAAATGACTGCAGTGAGATTTTGGTGTAGCAAAAAAAATTGTTCATAGGCTACTGTAGTTGAAGAACAAAAAAATTTAAACTAAACAAAAAAAAATCCAAGTTCTGTAGATGTTTGCAAACAAAATTTGAGAATCAAGAATACTGTATGTACATTAGTGTCATTTAGTGAAAGTAGGTACATCTCACTGAAAGCTAAGTTAGCGTTCATGCATATGATCGTCCAGCAACATGTTGCAGTGCAGTGAATATCTGTGGAGTTTTAAACATGATGCAATTATGCGGGGCAGAGCTAAAGTAAGCAAATTAATGCCCCCCTTAAAGCACTGCTCTGACAGAACATCAGCTGACACATCCTGAGGCAGTATGAAGCATCTAAAATAAGGCTAGAATCACAGAAGTTGTGTCCAAGTTTCTTRATTTTTGGACAAAAAGACACACTCAGGACATTAAAAAATCTATTTTCATACAGGACAGATGAATGATTCCATTTATGCCAATATTTTAGCACGACTCTCTGCTGCCAAACATCTGTGTTTGTCAGTGTTCGGGGCAAATGTTAGCTCTGAATGGGGAATGAGTGTACACACTCACAGATACTCACTCCACTGCTACTCACTCTTTGCTTTTTTTTTTTTCGTATTTTGATGGAATTCCAAAGTGAATGCTGGCCTTTGCTTTTCCACTGTTGCTAATGTTTCCCCCTCTGTTTTTATAATTAAAATGGAAAGAAAAGAATTTATTTGAACACAAATTGATATGTTTCAAAAGAAGCTTTGTTTGTCAAGTGATGAAAGAAAAGTGATGAAACATGAAGGGGTAAGACGTGTGTGTGCCACTGACAGCGGGGGGAGATGTGCCTAGTTGTGGTGTGTTGGTTAGCACAGTGATGATGCCTTTATGTACACGGGGTGTTTTGACAAGAGACGAGTGCAGAAGCGCCGCAGATGAGGCAAAGATTTACTAACTGCTTAATGATTCTAACACTGTAACTGGATCTATGACTGAAAAATAATAAAAAAAATCAAACACTGAAAAATATGAAACTAAAATTGTCTCGTTTTTGTTCTTTAAGATCATAAAAAAATCACAAAAATCCAAAGCAGTTGGTTAATAATTCATTCATATTAATCATGAATATAGAATCATTCAGTGATATTTGCACATTGTTGCCAGGGAACAAGCTGGTGGTCAGCGGGAGCTGGTGTTGAATTGATTAAAGTAGTCCTTGGTGGGTTTGTTGGTGTACAGCTTCTTATTCAGATATTCCTGACTGGGGCAGAAACATACATTTGCACACATTAAGTGTCTCAGAAATAGCTGATTAAATGTCATATTTTAGAGAATTTCATTGTCTTTAAATAAAATAAAGTGAGCTGTGAGTGTGTTTTTATGTCTGCTGGGCTTACTGTGCTTGCTGCTCTCTGGCCAGCTGCATATTGACCCGGTCCAGCTCGATCCTCTGCTGTCTCCTCAGCTCTGCTGCTCTTCTCTCATCCTCCTCTGCTTCTCTGGACATCTTCAGGAGCTGAAAGTCCCGAGCTGCATTGCTAATCTTTTCAGCATTAAGTTGTCTCTGGAAGCAGAAATAAATAAAAGTCTCAGATCTGCTCGAATCTGATTTAAAACCGTGGGTCACAGGCTGATAAATCTGCAATGATTAGATGATGATAGAGCACAAAAATAGTTATATTGTTTAAATCTTTCTATGTTTTTGAGTAAATAACKGAATTTCTTCATGCAGTCAAATAAAAAAGCAGCTTAAAGAATGACATTTTGCAACATATTTTTATGTTTCTTCACTTCTTGATGCACTGAATAATGAAAATATGTTAAAAAAGATAGCAGCTGGAAAATGTTACATTTGTAAATACAATAAAAAGTCGGTATCTACTGATGGACGGATATCTACGGATGGAAGCTCCAGCCCAAGTGTGCAAAGATGAAAAATGTTTCATTAGTCGTTTGGCGTAAAAGCTTCTGCTGAATGATGAAAGACATTTTATGTAAACGTTTTAACCTGACACCAGCATGATACCTGTCTGTCAYGGCGCTGTTGTTCCCTCTCGCGGTGGATGGCGCTCAGCTGCTCCGGGCTCATCCCCTTCCACCTGTCAGACTGAATCTGAGGTGGGTTCCCTCCTCCCACATCTCTCTTCGCTGCCTCTGTGTTCTCAGTCAACATGTCAGATGTCACTGTATGCCACAGCTCTGCCAGATTCTCCCTCTCCTCCGCTTTGCGTTGTTCCTCGAGGCTTTCCGCTCTCTCGGCTGCCTGCAGGAACATATGGCGGGGCCTCAGCACTGACTCTGGGAAAAAGTTCATTCATTATCCTTCCAATGATTAAAACAGCAGGGGSCATACAAAACACTCAAATGTGGTTAAAGAACCAGCCATATGCTGCACATTCTCCTGAGAGAGCCACTTAGTCTGTTGCATTTGCTTGTGCATTGTACATGTGAGCGGTTATTAGGGAAACCACAAAACTGCCATGAAAAATACCATAACCTCAAGGATTTACAGCAATCCTTCCCAGWGGGAAATTTCCAACAAGTGCATTCAAGCAAATGAGGGAAGTGCTAAGTGGGGGGTGGTGCTTTTTAAAAACAGTCAATTATCTTGCATACGTCAAARGAGTTTTTCCATTCGTGTCGGTTGGCACTGAACAATATGACTGCCGCCCTCCTGTGCCAAGCCTGTGTATGCATCACTTAACATATTTAGTTTGTAATTCTTTTTTTAAAATCCCACCTGAGAACAGTCTGTCACAGTGCCAAACCCCACTGGATTATCCTTCAAGTGTTCACATTGTGGGCATGCGTGACCACGTGCACGCACACACACGTGTTCCCTACCAGAGCTTGATTGTAGTTGTTGAGAGCGACGCGTTCAGCTTTCTTTCCCGCCTCCTCGAGTGCGGCCTGCTGAACCTGAGTTAGGTCTTGATGCACCAGTTCCCTGTCCGCTAACATCTCTGCAGCACATGGAATAAGAACTCGTGTGAAATGTCTGTTTTCATGCCTGCAGTAGCCATAAMTCTCTGAACAAAGCTGCTCAGTGACACACTCATACATACAGTATATTACAGCTTTAGGGGGGATGAGCATCCATCAAAGTCACCTGGCAGAGAGGACTGTGTGTGGGAGTGTGTGATTGTTTGTGCAGGAAAGCATGAAGCATGCTTGTGATTTACTGCAGCTGTAAGTGCGGATGGTGTAAGCTCATCTGTAATCATTGTGGGGATGTGTTTGTATGCGCGTTTGATTCTATTAACCTCTATGCTTGTCCCCCATGTGCCTTCTTTTATCCTTTTCCATCTGCGCTCGCAGATCTTTTTCTGTCCTTCTCATTTGTTCTCTCCTCGTTTGATCCAGCCCAACACCTTCTCCCTTCATGAAAGCAGTTGCAGCTTGGTTATTTATTAGCCATTCATTTGAATGAAGTCCATTGTTTTTCTGAAGCACACAATAGACGCTTACCTGGAAGATTTGCATGCTGGCGGGCCCAAGTTCACCTTCTGGAATAGTAATCTGGAATGCCCCCTTCAGGCCACACTTCAGATCAGCATCACGAGAGTCCTCCACACGCTGCTGAGTGGCCCAGTACTTGGTCAGGTCCTGATGCTCACGTTTTCTTTTCTCTTTCACATTAATGTCTTGCTGCACATGTGATTCATCTTGGTACTTTCTCAGCATATCTGATATGCAGTAAAAACATGCCTTTAAACTGCTGAACAGTAATTTGATTTATATAAAATGTTTTCAAAATACATTATTCTATCCATAATTTACCAAAAGCTTTGTCTCTTTGTTTCTCCATGTTCTGCTGTCGCTTCTTGTCTTGGCTTTGCCGGTTGAGGGCGTCAGTGTCCAGGCCCATCACACGCAGTCGGGTGTTGAAGATTCGGGCCTTGCGAGCTGCTTCTGCAGACCTTCGTGYCTCCACGGCCTTTTCTGTGGACTTGTCTAAAAGCAAGTCCACTTTGTGCATCTTTACAGTTTCTGGTAAGTTAGGATTTCAAGAATAAAATATTATTAATAACTTGTGGACATGTGCTCCAAACCAGTGAAATTCATCAAACTTACAAACAAATCTTCTGCTGTGACCTGATGAGCCTATATCAAACCTGAAGCTTCTTCTCAGCATTCTTGGATAAATATTTTTTCTTTGTCATCTGATAATAAACTCTTTAAATGAGCAGCTATATAGTAATGATTTACTTTGAGAATTGCTTACCTGTGGAACAGAGTTTTTGATCAAAGGTCTTCAATATATCAATATAAAATATCAGTGAATGGTGTCTGTTCATCAACTCGAAGCTGTGTTTGTGTCACGGTCACCATGGTAACATCTAAATAAATTTTGTAGGGAAAGAAAAGCATAATAATTTTTCAATAATAATCAAATAATAATAATAATAGCAGTAATAATAGCGACAATAAAAACGAATCAATTCTGTAACATATGTTTCTTTTTACATGCGAGGTTTGTCTCGCGAGGAAATGCGAGATTTCGTGTCTCGCGCGGGTCTTGCGTTTAGGTTGTAAAATGGCGCTTTGTTGTCAGAGGATTTCTTATTCTATTTGATAAAATAAAACAACGCTGCAAATTTTGTAAGGCTTAACGTACACTGCATAATGTAACTTATGTGCAAGTCAACGCTATACTGAGCAGGGAGGTTCATTTAATAACGTGAGAGCTTCGTTTATCAGATCGTTTTGCTCTCTACACACACGGGCTATTAGCATTAGCTAAATACAGCTAACACAGTCCGTGCAGATTTTTTTCTTCCAAACGGTGACGCAGATATTACAAAAATGGGCTATTTAAAGCTTATAGAAATCGAAAACTTCAAGTCGTACAAAGGAAGACAAATCATTGGACCGTTTCATAAGTTTACTGCAATCATTGGACCTAATGGATCGGGTATGTTATTATGGACGATATCTAGCGGCTAATGTAAGCTGCTAATGTTGGCTAATGGGTAAACTGATTGCATAATAATTCCTGCGGCTTATTTGTGTTTTAATTGTCCGGACAGTACTTTATTTGCCATTTTTAGTAAATATGTGGCCTTTGGAGTATGCATTTCAGTGTAATGCTGATGGTTATTAAGACTGCTATTGTACAATGTTGATACAGCCACAGTGAATTATATGATTGAGTAACCACATCTTWCGTTCAGTATTTGAGCTTGTGCAATTAATAGGGGAAAGTAAAGACAAAAAAAAAGCAAGTATTAAAACAGATATTCATCGTATTTTACAGTTTTTTTTAAGTCAGTGAAAAAACACACAAACAATACACTTGTTTTTCTACTCTATTCGACATGTGGAAAAGGTTACAAAATCTCACAATGACTTTTTTTTTTATTTTAATTTAAATTAATTTTATTTTTTAGGAAAATCCAACCTTATGGATGCCATCAGCTTTGTGTTGGCAGAAAAGACCAGTAACCTGCGTGTAAAGACTCTGAAGGATCTAATCCATGGTGCTCCTGTAGGAAAGCCAGCTGCCAACAGAGCTTTTGTTAGTATGGTGTACCARGAAGATAATGGAGAGGAACGCTCCTTCACAAGGGTCATCATTGGTAAGAAGCTTTCCTGAACCAGAAATTAAGAGGCAGAAGCTTTGCAAATGCAGATATTCACAGTAAACAAGGACAGCTGCATTGTCATAATTTCTAATTAATTGAAAGTGAAGTTAGTTACTTCATGTAAATTAATGACGTGTTTTAATTATGTTGATTTGGTACAAGAAACATTGAGCAAACACCAACATGTCCTGTGTAAACAAGCTTAAATGTCTCAGATAAAACATGATGAACATACAGATATAAAATAAGCTTATTTCAGATTAGATCTCCTGCAATAATCTTATGTAATTTTTTATTTGTCTCTCCATAAAAAGGTTTATGTATTGAATTATGCTTGTAAGATTTCTGTGTTTGATTTGGCCTGATCAGGATCCTCTTCTGAGTACCGCATCAACAACAAGGTGGTTGGCCTTCCTGATTACAGTGAGGAGCTGGAAAAACTTGGAATTCTGATCAAGGCTAGGAATTTTCTGGTCTTTCAGGTAAGACAAAGTGATCAGCAGACTATTTTCGGGCACATTTTTTGATATTTGTAATATTTTATATTTTTTGTTATTTGTATTAAAAAATATTTTAAACTGTTGTTTGTGCCATTGTTTGCAAAACTGATAATATGACATAAGTCCTGCAATATATTTTTGGAGTGATTAATTAAAGTCTGCTTATTTTTTGCTGTTGTTTTTGTTAATTACAGTTTGACAATGTTTTTTTCCCCTCAATTTCAAGGGAGCTGTAGAGTCAATTGCCATGAAGAACCCCAAAGAGCGTACCGCGCTTTTTGAGGAGATCTCACGTTCTGGAGAGCTGGCCCAGGAATATGACCGGAGGAAAAAAGAGATGGTGAAAGCAGAAGAAGACACCCAGTTCAATTACCATCGCAAGAAAAACATTGCTGCCGAGCGCAAAGAAGCCAAGCAGGAGAAAGAGGAGGTGTGTTCTTTGTGTGTAATTAAATACTGTATGTTTAGAATGAGTTTTCCCTGGTTTTTGGCAGTGGAAACAAAATACTTGACTGGATTGTCTCATTGATAATTAGGTTGACGCTGTTGAACAAAAATGTTTGCACTGAATTCACCATGGTTAATCACGCTGACTTTTCTTGATTGTTCTACCAGGCTGAGAGGTACCAGCGCCTTAAAGATGAAGTAGCCAGGGCCAGCGTGCAGTTACAGCTCTTTAAGTTGTATCACAACGAGACTGAGATCGAAAAGCTGAACAAAGAGCTAGGTCAGCGGAACAAAGAAATTGAGAAAGACCGTAAAAAGATGGACCACGTGGAAGAAGAGCTGAAGGACAAGAAGAAGGAGCTCGGCAGGATGATGAGGGAGCAGCAGACCATTGAGAAAGAAATCAAGTAGGTTACTGTGTCCTCCTGGRATTCTCATAGGCTTCTTGATGTGTGCACTTAGTTCCTCTCTCTTTAAATTATTTACTGATGGCTAARCTTCTCATTGTGCTTGCAGGGAGAAGGATTCCGAGTTGAACCAGAAGAGGCCCCAGTACATCAAAGCCAAAGAGAATACATCCCACAAAATAAAGAAACTCGAGGCAGCAAGAAAATCATTACAGAACGCGCAGAAGATGTACAAAAAGCGCAAAGCAGACATGGATGAGCTGGATAAGGAGATGAGGGCGGTGGAGCTGGCAAAGCAAGAGTTTGAGGAAAGAATGGAGGAAGAGGCACAAAGTCAGGGCCAGGACCTCACGCTGGAGGAAAATCAGGTAATGTTCATGTTTAAGGCTTTCAGAATTCTTTTCAGATGAATATATGTTTATTAATGTACTTAWTTTGTCAGTACCATTAAATTATGCACACTTTATACACATGTAAGTACATTTGTGTACTAATTTTTGTTCTTATAATAGATATAATGTAATTATAATTGTMTTTGCGTGGCTCTTCCTCTCATAATCCAGGTCAAGCAATACCATCGTCTAAAGGAAGAGGCCAGTAAGCGTGCTGCCACTCTGGCTCAGGAGCTGGAAAAGTTCAACCGTGACCAGAAGGCCGATCAGGACCGCCTTGACTTGGAGGAGAGGAAGAAAGTGGAGACGGAGGTAAAATGACGGCAGATTTTTTTTCTGTGTCAGGAGCTGATTTCTTTAAGATTTATTACAACTCTATTGTGCTAATTCCTTCCAGGCCAAAATCAAACAGAAGATCCGTGAAATTGAGGAAAACCAGAAACGTATTGAGAAACTGGAGGATTATATCACCACCAGCAGGTATGTTCTCCATATGTTTGTAGTGTTTTAAGCAGTGTTTGACAGATCTCCACTTTCCTGCCTTACTCAAACATTTTTGCTTTGGTAACTCACAGACAATCGCTTGATGAACAGAAGCGCATGGAGGAGGAGCTGACGGAGGAAGTGGAGATGGCCAAGAGGAGAATTGATGAGATTAACATGGAGCTTAACCAGGTAATCGATAAACAGGAAAAAATAAAATAAAATACACAACATCAAWTGGAAATTTTGAGTTTTCACTGTGCTTTAGTTTGTTTAACAATGACCTTTAGCTAGACTTCTGCCTTCTACAGCTAATCTGTTGCCTTAAAGTGTTCATGACAAAGAAAATGTGTTTGTGTTAATTAATAAATATGTCTGYGACAAGCAAAAGTGTGGAAGACGTGATGTGGACCACTAACACGACCTAGTCTGCTCTGTCTTGTACTGCTTAACAAATGCTTTTCTCATGTGTTGGAAATATGTCAGCTTGAAAGAACTCATTGACCGTTTCCAATATTACTGGTTTTTGCTGTAGGTTATGGAACAACTAGGAGACGCCAGAATCGACAGGCAGGAAAATAGTCGACAGCAGCGCAAGGCAGAGATCATGGAGAGTATCAAAAGGCTCTATCCTGGCTCTGTCGTAAGAACTCTTTTAAGCGTTTTTTTCATTTGTAACCGAGCAGCTTTTTAAGTGTCTTTTATGTTGAAAATAAAGCAGCAAATTTCACACAACCTGTTTTTTTTAAATGGAACAATAAATAATTGCTCTGATTTCAGTATGGCCGTCTGATTGACCTGTGTCAGCCCACTCAAAAGAAGTATCAGATTGCTGTTACCAAAGTGTTGGGCAAGAACATGGACGCCATCATTGTTGACTCAGAGAAGACCGGCAGAGACTGTATTCAATACATCAAGGAGCAGAGAGGAGAGCCTGAGACCTTCCTTCCTCTTGACTACCTTGAGGTAAATATTACAGCACAGATAATAGATCCAATCAAGAACTTTTAGATGAAAGATAAGATAATTTATTAGTYTCCCATAGGAGAAATTTGACTTAGAAGAGGGAACAAAGCTGCAGTACAACAGTAACAGTAAAACAACACTTCAAACAAAGAAATAGTAARAATAAGTGTTAGTTGAAAGTTTTTACCTCCCAATTACTAACAATTCAAACCTGCAACCTCAGTATGTCTGTAGTCTCGACTTTTAATGGATTTAAGTAGTATTTATTTATTTATGTTTTAATTCTCAAATATTGTTTACCAGTTAAGTAAATAAAACAAAAATTTACTGTATTTATTCATGTATAATACGATCTCGAGTATAATACGATCATTTTTTAGCTTAAAAAGCAATTAAAATCTAATTATCAATAACCTGTGTATAATACTGCCCCCCCCAACACACACACACACACACACACACACACTGCAAAAACTGTTCAACTTACCAAGTTTTAAAATCTTATGTCCAGTCAAAA